ATCAGATTTGAGTAAAATTACTGAAGGCCAGACTAAATTAAAATTATATGAGGTCAGACTCATGTAAATTTGTTGAAGATACGACTCTTGTAAAATTACTGGAGATCAGACTCTTGTATAATTGTTTTCTAATCAGATTGATTCAAATCTTCTGCAAATGAAAGCAAGGAAAACAACGCTGTCTGAGTCGGCAACCTGTAGCTCCTGAATCACAAATGAGTAGCTGGAAATCATGCCGTTAGTTTTTCAAAAGCAGAAGCAGAAATTAGGCCTATGGGGCTTTTATGTCCGGGGCTTGATCTTTAATGAGTTGCTGCCTTGTTCATCTAAAGAAAGCCTTCATCGTCTGTCATAATGAATGCCTTATTAATAAATTAATTAGGCGACGCACAATGAGGCTCTCCGCTTTCCAAAGACTATGAATGAATTTCAATTTTTTGTTCAGTATTTGTTGGTTCTAGTTTTCAGAAAAATGACTAAAATATTTGCTTGAAAATTCAACATTGTTTTAGAAATATTTCGAACTAGAATGAAAGGTTTCAATTTGAACGTTTGGTTGAACGGTAAAATCATTAGACGAGAATGAAGGAGAATGATTTCAACTTTTCTAAAATTTGCTGGAGTTGAAGTTCCCATTTGCATAGAAAATATAACATCAAGGGTGTTATAAAATACATTTTAGCATTCGTTTTAATTTTCAATTTATTCAAATGTCTATGCTAAATTCCTTTCATCCTGTAGAATTAAATCTTTTAATTTAAAATTACGGAGATGATCTGATTCAAAAGGAACTTTTTTAAGGAATCAAAACTTTTATGCTATCTAATTTTCAATAATCATGTTATCTCTTTATATTGAACATGATCTCGTTTTTGCCTATATAAAAACAATGTACACTACAGGCCGCATCATACCTATTATTCAGCGCCGACATCACTATTATATGATGATATGATCAGTTGAGCAATTTCTCTCTCTTGATTCTGAGTATGCATTTCTTCATTATAAACTGGTAATTTTTTGATTGAGAGCATGTTTTTACTTGATTAATTAACATGTTTTTTGAGTTGTGTGGCAGGCATTCAATCAGAAAATCCGGCCATAACGATATTGTCTGGTCCGAGGCCTGTCAAGCTCACCTGCTTCGGGCTCAATGGCCTACTTCCTCATTAATATTCGAGCTAATTATTAATAATTCTATGATCGTATATGATAAAATACAAATCCCGGCACGGACAATCAGGTTATGCCATCTAATCAGCTCCGTTAGTTGTTAACTTCGGGTGATGATTTAGAAATGAAAAGGTTAGCCTATCGCCTAGTTTCCGCAGGTGTTTGGACAAGGCAACATTTTTTACGATAATGATCAAAGTAAGTAAGTAATATCGGTAATAATATTAATAGAAGTATAATTATCAATAATAGAAGAAACATGGAATCAGTTCCTCCTTCACTTGCACACGGGTGTCGTGCGGTTAAGAAGCTTGTTCCTTCCCCCCAGGTGTGCCGACACCAAGAGTTTGGTGGACGTTGGGAGACCACGTCCTTCCCCAAACAATGTCTGAGGAAGCTCCACCTTCCTCTGAAAGAATAAAGTCCAACCTCAATAAAATGAGGCGTGCGGTTCAGCCTTATCTGCTGAACATCAGCCCGCGAGCAGCACTCACGGGAGGCTTGAATGTAGGAAGCCATAGTCCAGCGTCACAGGAAGACAGCAATAGGCAACCCGCGTTGCTGCTGAAGAAACGTTTTACTCATAAGGAAGTTACGACATTGATGACAAGAAATATAGACACGGTCTCTGAGGTGACACGAAATGACCTTTTGGTTATGGGTAGAGATCGTTCCCTACTAATGAACGTTTATTCGTCATCTTATATTGCCCGAAATAATGATTCTGACCAAGTGCCTCTCTGGACTTTGATGCCAAGAAGCATTAGCGCATCGTCTCACTGGAACAATAATGCACTACTCGAGAAAAATGAGTTTCCTTACTCATCAATCGATGTACTGGACATACCGCTGGCACTGGAGTTGAAAGAGCCATTAATTTTTAATAAAAATACAAATACTGAAACTAATGAACCCGATAATGATAACTCAAAATCCACAGTAACCTATGTAGTTGGATTCATGAACAGAAGAAATCATCGATCAGTTTCCGAGAAATCTAATGCACAACCATCCTTGATCAGAAATCCGTTTTTGGATAGAAAGAGGAATTCTGCAATGTCATTCCAGTCCAACACACATGATTTACAGAACGATCATAATTATTTGCAGCAAAGCCAGGATTCCAACGACTCGCATTTACAAGAAAATCACAACTTCATTTTATTATCGAACGGTAGCTCATCTACCAGCCGTACCGACAAAGAGGTGTTGGTTCCCCTCATTGTATCTGAGGTACAAAGAGAGCACCACGGCCTGACTCTTACCTGTCATGCTTCCAATGCCAACCTCACGGCAGTTACCATGCAGGCATCAACAAAACTTTTTGTCAACAGTGAGTACTTCTTGTATTTGTTGTTTCCTCGTGAGAAATAATACTTTTTCGGATGTATGCCTTTTCTTACTAGCGCATCCAGCAAATTTTATATCAAATTCTTTTCATTTAACCCAAATTATTTCACAGCTCCCCCGTCATCGGTTGACATCAGTGGCATCCCCCCCTCAGTAGCCGCGGGGGAAAAGTTGAAGGTTTGGTGCTCCGCTCCCCACGCCCGCCCCTCCCCCGTCCTTGTCTGGACACTCATCAGGAAGGGAAAACCTGCCAAGGTTCTTGCCAAGCAGGTGAGGGAATTTCCTTGCTGTGCATTTTATCCATTACGTTGTGCTGCTGCGCGCCTGACCCCTGCTGCAGTGCTGCCATGCACATTATGACAGTGCTTAATGGCTGTGTGCACTGTAAAGTGTACAGTAAACTGTAGAGTAAATTGTACAGTATACTGTATAGTAAATTGCATACTGTACAGTAAATTGTATACTGTACAGTTAATTGTACAGTAAACTGTACAGTAAACTGCCGAAATGTGTTTGTCATTATTTCTGCCATTATCTTCGAGCTATAGCAAATAATCCTGTGCATGAAATCAATTGTTATTTACAGAACTAAATAATCCTGTGGGTAATGTAAATTTATTTCAAACTAAACTGAAGGTGCGCCTGATGAACTTTTCTCTTGACTGCAGGAGAGGAACGTGTCGAGGTCGTGGCAGGACGTGCAGGTTGAATGGCAGGACCACGGCGCCTCCCTGACCTGTACGGCCTACAGCCCTGCGCTGCCTGCTGTCAGAGTCTCCAACTCCTCTCTTCTGAATGTCACGTGTGAGTGTTTAACTAATTCAAGATCTAACGTATTAATTATAAATTACAAAGAAGTACGCTCACATTTTATTCCCCAATGCGATCGGACGTTAATGAAATTACAAAATTTTAATATTATCTATGAAAATTAATTCTGTGCAAACGGGAGGATTCATTCAAGCTGCTGAAATTAGAATAATCAATATAGATTCTTCTACTAAATATTTTCAAACATTAGGCATCAATTCTACCGATGTCTTGGAAATATATATTTCTGATTCCGGATTTACTCTGAATTATTTTTTAGAAGTAATGCAAGTCACACATTTTCAGATTTATCGCCTGGTGGAAGATTTTCGTGCTTTCCATTGTGAAAATAATTCAAATTTTGCTCTCTTATTTATATTATACGAAAAGCAATTATACTTAATTCAACGGCACCCGTATTACCGTTTTTCTGCAGCGATTCGCATATTTCGGTTTTTACATTTTTTCAGATTTCCCTAGTATATTCGTTCCGAAACATCTCTAGTCCGTGGTTGTACCATATCTACTCGAATGGTGCATGCTATGTCCATTCTTACTTATTCAATCAATTTTGATGAACCATAGCAAACATTTTTATTTCTCATTAAATGGATTCCAGTCCTTAATTTTATTACTTTTTCCAATTACATCATAGTGCACTGTTTTCATTAAAAATACTTTGCATTTTTCAAAACAAATCCTTTAATTTCTCGAGGCATTTACTCTAAGTGTTTCAAAACACTCCCATCTTTTGTCCGGAGTTATTTACTAATTTAATGGGAAATATGCAACATTTTTGTTCTAAAATGGTTCTATTTCACAGTCGCGCCGCGGGTGCGGATGTCTCTGGGTGCGATGTTGTCCGCGGATCACATCAAGGAAGGCAGCGATGTTTACTTCAGATGTGACATCCACAGCAACCCACCTCCCAACCGCATCACTTGGTTCCACAACGTGAGAGAATTGTCAAACAATACATTCACTTGCATCGGTCATCATGAATAGCAGATATTCACTCAATTATATTTAATATTATTGTCGTTATCTTGATTATTTTCATGGCTACCATCACAGGAACCCGATACCGAAATTTTTCAAAATTGCAGTATCCTAAGGCCTACATTATGGATATAAATAAATACATAAAAATTATCCTCTTTCGTTCTTTAACAGAACTGACTAATTCAGTTAAAACTTTTATGCTATTTCCTAAAAGAAATAAATCCATGAATTGTCACTCGAAGTTTGGGATCTAGCGGAAAAATATATTTTTCATAGGTAGGGTAACGTGGGGCAGCGCGCCCCCCACTTTTTTTAAACTAAAATTTTGACGAAGTTTTAATTGATACGAGGTGGTTCTTTGTTTTGTTTAAAGGTGCAACTAATGAGGAATGTATGATGTGATTTAGGCGAAAACACTTAGCAAAACGTAAATCCGTACACTTCATCCCAGTGAAACTGTCGACCGGCGGTAGAGAACACGGATCAATATCTGCCATACTTAGCGAGAAACCCGCTATGGGCCCGTGACCCGCAGTGGGCTCGCTGCCCCATGTTACCCTAATATTTTGCTAAAATGCTGAAAATCTCCAGAGTGAAGAAGTACACGCTGGCGACCGCGTTTTGGTGTTTGGAGATCACCTCGTGCTCCAAAAGGTTCACCGGAAATGGAGTGGAAACTTTTCTTGCTCCGCCTCCAATCCTGTGGGCGAGGCAATGTCCAACTCATTGGAGATCGCCATCCTATGTGCGTGGCACCTAATGTTGAATATCCATGCACCAATTTGTTTCACTGACTAAGATGCATCAAGCACTGTAAATGTATACAATTAATTAGATAACATTTTCAATTTGGTTGTAAAAATTATATCTGTTTAAGAATAAACTATGAAGTCACTCGACAATGGTCTCTCAGTGATATTGATTTTTTTCTTTCGTGTCCACTATTGGAAAAGTAATTATCCAGATGCTTTATTAAACTGAAATATTTGGACTTCTTTTGCAAGGTCAAATTGGAAAACGAAAATTGTAGGTTTTTGGGAAGATAGCCGGAGAATCAGTTGAAGGAAAAACTGTTAAGTGATGTGACTCTCTCGTTTTCCGATCAACATGAGATTGTTTTATGTGCTCCATAAATCCTTGAGAATTAATCAGGAATGCTTTAGATAGAGTTGTGTATCTTGCATCGAACTTCGATATCCCTGTAAATTTCATCTAATTGAGCCAGAAAAATTGAAAAATATTCTTGAAATTATTAGAGTACAGCCCCAGCTTCGATACTTTATATGATTAATTTTCGCCACTGTAGATGTCAACCTTTATCAACTGATTTGCGAAGGGGTATTTTTTTAATATGTAAGTTTTGAATGTGATCCGACTTTGACAACAGAGATCGAGATAGGATCATAACATGAAATTAAAATCGAGAAAATATTCTCAACCACATATGATGGTTAATGATTTGTTAAGAGACGATTCCTAATAATGGGATATGCAAAAGTTATCGTAAAAGCAAAACCTTGTTTCAGATTCTCCTGTATGTGGGAGGACTCGACCTGTGCTGTACAGCGCAACCCTCGGCCAACAGGTCACGTTGCTGTGCTCTGTGCTGGCTAATCCAACCGACGTCACTTTCCAATGGGCGTTCACCAACGCGGTCTCCCAGGTACACAAAAAATATTCAATTGAAAAATATTCATATTCAATTGAAAAAATATTCAATTTAAAAATATTTAATTTAATTTAAACAAATATTCAGAGCTTAAAAACTACGATATGGATACAATTAATAGTTTTAATAAACAAGAAAAATCCGATTCATCTCTAATCAATAATACATACCCGATTTTTCTTTCTTTATACCTAACTTTTTTTTTGACAGACTCAACCTCCTCCAGGCTACTATGGCTTGCCAAGCAGCTCTCACACCACGACGTCTCTACCCCCACCGGGCATGACGGGTGTGGTACGGTCGGAGCACGGCTTGGAAGGCCGTCTCAAGTACCAGATCCGGCGGATACAAGACTATGGTTCCGTTGAATGTCGGGCCACAAACAGCGTTGGATCTCAGACCAGACCCTGTGTCTTCGCTATTAGACCTCCAGGTGTGTGTATATACTTTGTAACTCCGTTGGCCGTCAATTTAATTCAATATTGTTAGTAAATAATATCAGTTATTACCACGATATCGCGTTAGTTTTCATTTGAAACTGGATATTTCATCAACTACTCGTGATTATCTGAAACTTCTGTTTAGGCAGGTCAGTTTTTTGGGATTATGTTGTATAGACAGGTCTGTTTTGGGGGTTCGAATGTGTTAGCAGGCCAGCTTTTGGGGTTGAGATGTGTAATCAGGTCAGTTCTAGGGTTATGTAGCTGTGCAGCACATGGGCATTTTGTTCTGCTCTAAATGACTTGAGTTTTTCGGTTTCCACTACTGCAGGGGATGTCACATTTGCAAGCGATGTCACATTTTTTTTGTTTATACTGCTGCATCAGCGCACCGGTAATTTTTAACCATCCATTATTTGAGTTTTATTGCGAAAATTCTCAAGGTTTCAGACTCATCGTCGTGTTGATGTTGATTTATGGGGGCTTTCGGCGTTTGACAACTAAATTTAAAAAGGCATAAGCTCAGTTCAGTATATTTATAACTGCAACCACTGCAGCACAACATTCAGTTTTTTTATACGTTTACGATCACAAAAAAAATCAATTTATGAATTTTGTTTACTTGAATTATTTGCTCACTCTTTGAATGCATTTATAATATTTTTTTTCTTTTTGGCACGGTTGAATTTTTGGGAGCATAAATATTTGATTCCGTTCCAAAAAGCATGGTTTAATATTTTCTCCTTCTGTTTAGTGCATTGTCTTATCATTTCAATGATGTAAAGTTTTATTATCTCAGGCATTCCTTCATCGAAATTCGCATGCAAAGTAACGAAGCAAAGCTGGGCAAGCGTTGCAATTGCTTGCGCTCTAACACCGTCAAATTTCTACAACGACGACAACTCTGAAAACGTCACTGACGGATCGGATGTAAACGCGGCGGTACATTCAGGTGATAACGCGGCTGGAAACAAAAAGTTTTTAAAGCAGATCTTGATGAAAAGTGTACCAGGCATTACAGAAAACAGCATTCAAAATAAAGTGTCAGCGAAGCCAGCCGACCACAAAAGGACCACTCTAGAAAAAGATGCCCTAGGGGTTAGAGCGAGAAGCGGAAAAGAACCGAGTTTGCACAACGTAAGTGCGAATAATCGAATAAGTTCTTAACTTAGTCGATGCAAGAACAACTTAATACTGAATCTTTGCACGTGAGATGACAGCATGTGAGATAACATTATATACGACGCTTTTATATCGTCAAATAGAGTAAAATAAATTATATCTCAATAATTGATTAATTATCTCAGTCGCAGCACGACGATTCTGACCAAATTGCTGAACTTCGAACGGATGAACTGCATCTAGAAAATCAAAGGATAAAAGAAGCAAGCGGAGTACAGATATACGACCAAGACACTAAATATCTCTTGACCGTGAGGGAACGACACACCAACACTCTGATGCATAACACTACAGGTGAGACTGTGACAAGGAATTGTTACCATCTAGCGTGAGGGAGCGCCACACCAACACTCTGATGCATTGAACTCATGAAGTTTATTGAACACGTAAAGTATATATCAGTTCCAATGCATTTTGTTCCTTCAAGCAATATCATTAACTATGCATACATATTTTTATTAGGTTCTCGATATATTTAACGAGAATATAATTGAAATCATGCGGTTATTATCTAAATACTATTAATTCTATTTCAAAATAAACAGTGAAAGTATTTTTTTTTATCCAGAGTTTAAATGACGATGTTGTTTTTCGTTCATTAAATCAAAATGTTTACGATAATTCGATAATTAAATTATAATATTACAATTTAATTTAATATCTCAGGAGCGCGTGGAGTGTTCAACTTGACGGGCCTGACCCCCGGAGGAGATTACGTCATCAGGGTGTGGAGGGTGAACAGGAGGGGGCGCTCCGCCCCCCTCACCCTCGAGACCTACACGCTGCGTGTGGCTCAAAACAAAATGAGTCCGTCACTTAAAACTCATTTCACGTATAAATAATTTTAAATTAAAACCAAAATAATGTTATTCTGCATATTGTATTATGATTCAATTTGTAGGTACATCGTGCTTCATTGTAAATAATTGAGTTTTGAGTTAACATATCGTGTGTCTTTGAACTCGAACATGAGCTAGGAATAAACTTGAAATATTGTATAAAATGTTCTAATTTCTGAGCTGACTTTGCTCGAAATTCGCTAATTCACTTCTCTGCTTTTATTCGTATGACTCAAAATATTTTGATACATTCAATGTACAAACAAACGTCGATGAAATATCTCACCCTAACATCTGTTACAGTAACGGTACAGAATTACAGTGACTACATCAAACATGTCTATCATTTCATCTCAATCATAATCAGTTGGGATAAAAATCATCAATCATACTAAGCAATGAAGCAAATCTCTATTACAGGAGAGGACGTTGTAGGTGATGCAGCGGCAGTGGTGCTCGGTATCGCACTGACCGCATCAGCGCTTCTCCTGATTTTGGTCTTCTCGCTCGTCCACAAGAAGATCCACAATCGTCACACACAGGCTGAAGGACCTCAGTTCCTGCAATCTACTGTGACGCTCGATGAAGAATCTCCGAATCCTTTGATTCCTCCCGCGGATGACCTGCAGTCCAGCGTCGTGCCCGTGGAACATCAAATAGTGGAAGTGACACCCGATTTGGATGGCAGCGAATGTAAAACATTTTCAAAAACTTCAGTAAACCTCGAGGCCGAAGAGTTCTTCCTCGAAGCTCCTCAGCGCAACCAACCTTCGTCATCGCTCAACAGGAGCCTCTTTCCGGTAAATTCACTTTAGTTTGCTTGGGAAGGAAACTATAAACTCAGAAATATTGTTCGATTAGAATTGAGTTGGATAGTACATGAACTTTAATGGCACAAGTCGGTTATAACCAATATTTATTTGGTACGGATGGTCTATCACAATTACCTCGAAAAAAATGTTCTTATCTTGATACTTAACCGTCAACTTTACTCTACCATACAATGCAGACTTTAATATCAACTAGTCGATTAAACATGAAACATAGTGCAGATATTGTTTTTAAATATTTAGTAGCCTTCATATTGAAAACTAACTTAATTTTAATGACAGTAATTGCTGAAAAATCAAGTACATATGAAATCTAACTTTTCAGGAATCTCCGGTGAATATGAGCAGCAATTCAACCATAAGCAAATTGATTAGTGGAGTAGAACGCAGCCGTGGTTCCTCAAGAGCTCAAAGTTCGGTCGGTGAAATTGGAACCGAAACTAATAATATTTCGTGGAGAAAATCCCCGTTCAATTACTCATCACAATTCTTCAATCCTCCGGGCATGTCTTCCTCCACATCAGCCTCTAACGAAGTGGAGGCTAGCAACAAGTTCAAGGACCTTGAACGCCTCGGAGGTGTAGGAGTTTCTGAACTCCCTGCCCCTTCCCGAAACCCTAACAAGAAGCACTACGTTCGCTGTCAACAATTAACTCAAGTTGCAAACGAGCGAGAAAGCTTCCTATGATACGGCCAAACAAAGAACATTGTTTTCAATACTCTTCTTGTGTAATATCTTCGTATTAATTTTCAAAAATGTAAAATATTATACATATTTTTGCTATTGTTTTCTAATAATTTAATTAGAGGTAAAAATAAATTATGCAACCAGAACTGGGTGACTCAAGATTGTTTGTTATTGATGAGTAATTACTATTCAAATAACGACATAATTGTTCAGCGCAGAATGATATTAACCGTTAATTAGGAACATGCCCAACGAGAGCTGATATATATGCAGGCAAATTTCTTGAGACGGTGTTTCCGTTTAAAGACATGCAGAAATTACAAGATCTTTAAATTTGAGGCGTTAGAAAATATTCAGGCGTTTCCAAATTGCCTTAGGCATTATCTTATCACTGATCTTGGTGCGACTGTACTGGCCAAGCTCAGTGCCGGTCACGGCTCCAAATTCTAATGAGGTGGCGCTGCACTTCTCAACCTTTAGATAGGCTGGTACCATACAACTGTCCCAGCCTGGCATAAAGAGAGTGATATGGGAGGTGAGCCTGAGTTTTGTTTAATCGCGATTTTAATAAATCTTGCTTCCTTGAGACTATTGCCCAACGCGTCGCATATATCTTGTAGAGCAACACTTGAAAATTGCAGCATTAATGGCGAATAATTTTACGGAAGAACGAATTACTTGTCATATTAAGATGAGCAATAAACGGATTAGGAAAAAAATATTCTTTCTCTACCTTTCCAGTACATGAAATTAGACGAGCAGTCATTGAACCTATACCAAAAGAAGTACGTCAGCTTTCCGTACCAGAAAGTGCAAAACATTTTTTCACTTGAAATATGGCTCCACGTAGGTGTTTTTTTTTTCGCTTTATAGGAAGCAGCAATAATAATAAGAATGCACAACTATGTATTGTGGAGATTTTACTAACTAACCTTCTGTACCAAACGGTTAAAAATGAATATCAAAAGGAGTGGAGCGCAGATAATAACATTGTCATCAAATTTTTACAGTAAATTAATTTCATAAGTCGGTAGATTTCGATTTTAAACAATGATAGCTTTCATTTCGTGAAATTTTTTTATAGTTTTCGGTTTTTCTGTCTCGGGAACTGTCAACTGTCTATGATGGTAACATCGTATTGATGAATGTACGATAATCATCATGAATTAGTTTTGTCGGTTTTCCAACTTCCTATAGTGGAATTGCATCGAATAAAAACGTCTAAAACAATCATATGACCACCTTGGCCCCTTGATTTTAAGGGGAGCGTCTTGGTCCAAAATCGACAATTTAGGCTTTTCCTGTTTTTATTCTCATCTTAAAGCTGACATTCTGACCTATCCAACGGTACCAAAACCATCTCTGTACGTTGATTTATGCGTTCATGACAGATCCCGAAAGGGTGGGGGGTCTTTCACATTTAAGATGGGGAATAATTCCCGCATTGCACTATAAATCACTTGTCTACAGACACTCAGCTCCAGTAACCTTGCTGCAGTCGTACGGGGTGGTTATTGTGCCGTCGCTCGTACCATCCTTGACAGAAATAGAGCTCCAGTATCGTCTAGTCTCATTCCTTGCAGTGTTGAATGCCGATTTCGAGGCGCCCGGGACTTTGTCGGGCTCTACTGAACATTCACACTTATTGTCACTGGAAACCTATTTCCTCCTACAGTTTCGAAGCTACAGCGATGAAACATATACCATTCGATTCGCAAAGAAAAGATCTACAAATTGTTGTAGGCGTTTTTCTAATTTCGTTATAGTTTGTATTTTATTTTGCAAAAAGAGGGGGTGGAATGGGGTAAAATCGAAAAATTTCCGAAAAATTTACAAAAAATGCTCCCACACCCACAAAATTGGAAATTTCAAAAAACGCCTACATCAATTTGTAGATATGGTCTTTACGCATCGAATGATACGTGTCTCGATGTTGTAGCTTGAAAATCCTAGGCCCGCTGATATTTCTACAGTACCCCCTTTTTTGTCCGTTTTCTAAGAATTCCTCGTTTTCTTCCATTTTTTTCGAAAAATTCACATGAACAAAAAAGTCTTAGAATTGCGTTTTACATACGTGTATTAAATTTCGAAGTGATTCGTCCGTAAATAAAAAAGTTTTTTTCGGACCAAGACGCTCCCCTTAAGTATCGTCTCTATTATTGTTTTCATCAGTAAATAATAATTTGATTAAAGACTGAGAAGTTCCGGATCTATCTAATAATAACGTAAATATTGAAACTAACCATCTGAACCATAAAGTAACCAATAAATCAACACCAAGATTTACTAGCCACTATTCGTACTCACAGAAACGCACGACTAACAAGCGCTCTTTGAGTTAATCACAAATGGTATGAAGCGACTAATGTAACGCAATCTGCATGCGATGCTATAGCTTATTTTAGTCATACCTACATGATTCTACGTTAAACTCCTTGCAGCCTCGTGGGCGTCAAAAATAAATAATCGATTTAATTCTTCTGCTATTACTGAAAGTGGGATGAGCATTCGTTGGGTGTAAAAACTCGTCAAAAAGTGATATATAAATTTCGTTAAACTTCCGGATTTATTCACTATACGCAAATTCAAGGAAATATTCTTATAATATTCAATTGAATTTTTATAACGAATGTTGAATTGAGATTAATAAAGAGTAAAATTATATTGTTCTCAGTAATGAAGTATTTTATATCTAATTATATTGATGGGTGACTAAAATAATTTTAACAGATGAACTTACAAAATTCATCCCGAATAATTGGCAATATTTGGTAATTATAAATAATATTCGATAGCCAGCATTTCATGATATTAACCACTTTATATTCCGACTGAAGATAAAGACGATATTAGAGAAAATGTAGAGATTTCGTCTGATCTAGAGACTCCAAATAACAATTGTTCCGAATTTCCACGCGCGCCAGAATAGCAATTGGTATCTGGTATCTACCAAGTGTTCGTATTTATCTGTGATCGTTGGATGGTTAAAATATTTCGTTACTCATGCTGAAGTAATTCTCTTAGAATAGTGTTAGAATTTCTTTACATTTAAGATATTTCAATATGATTTTTTTCACACGTAATGACTTGAGATTTGGTTTGCGTCGATCATTAAACAATGTGTGATAGACGAAAATGTTATCGTATTAACGTTTATAATAAAAGAAGGAAGAAACGCGAAGCAATAAATCTCACCAAAATAATCACTGATACCAAATAGGTATCTCTAACGAGAAAATTATCACTGGTACTATCTCATCGTACTTCTTCTTAAACCTAGTTTTCTGATCAATGACTTATAACTGCATGCATAACGAACACAGGTCTAGTGTCCATCCAATCTAACGTTACGTACTTAATCAACCCAAAAAAAGTGTTCTCATCAAATAAATTTACTCAAAATTCATTGTGCTCTGAATTTTATTAACTATTTATTATATTATTAATTAGTCACGAAATCGAAGCTATTTTTGACCGACAAAGATAGGCACGAGACAGCGCCTCATGGCCTACGTAGATCAGTCGTGGCAGCCTGACTGCCGGGCGCTCGAGAGTGAAGCTCTGAATTTGCAGAGCTCTGAATTTGACTCGTCTGAATTTCAGACGAGTCAGAGACAGACTCAGAGACGAGTGCTCTCAATTTACAGAGACGAGTGAGGCAGTCGCATCGTCCATTGTTAGCGGTTGGGTAATTATAATCGCTTTGATTTAGCAAATTTATTCAGTTCGGTGCAAATTTTGAGTTAAGCTAGTTGAGGAGAACACCACACTTAAGTCGAATCTGCCTATGGAAACAGCCTTATGGAATCCGAAAAATGTATACAAGTCAAAAATGTAGCTTAATTTTATTTGGACGTCTCAATATCTGGACCATTTGGTTGAATATTACATATGAGTTACACATATTATACATGCAACGTCAATTCGATTTGACCTTACGAAAATCCACATAATGTTATATAGATAATAATTATTCATCACACTAAATTTCAGTTTGTGCTTTCATTGGCATATGTAGCATATTTCATACTTTCATTAATCAATAGTTCTGCATAACACAGCTCGCACAAGTAGTGTTCGACTTAGCGAACCGATATATAATCTACGCAATGAAGGTGCCAAACTCCTCCTATTAACTAAAAATTATTTGTATGGAAATCATTATAATATGCAAATTCAAAGCAATTTTTCCCCCGATGACAGTGGGCACGCAACAGCGCCTCATAACTACGCGTTACAAGGCAGTTCAGCTGCCGAGCGCGATCAGTTCCATTGTCACGTCGCACACTGACTGTCACCTCAGAAATCCACATCTCTTGCTATATCTTCATTGACAGCGGCTTCACTTCATCCCAGGTTTTCAAGAAACTATAAAGAGGAAAAAAATAATTCACGTAATTAACGGTACCCCGCTTGTTCGCGGGTTTCCAGAGAAGTCGATCAGCACTAAAAGTGGGGGAAGGGTTTGTAAGCACTCAAATTCTTAGAAGAAATTTGCACCGACTGAATGTATTCACATTCTTTACACAGTACTGTATTTTAACTCATTATGAATGAGCAAATTGTAAGACGACCATGTTCACGACTCAATGATCACTTACTTAGGGTAATTCCTCGACAGTTTCCGAAAAATACTGCAAAAGCAGAGGCGGTTGTGTTTTGGTCTTCGTTGCCATGGCGACCGCACCTTGCGTACGACAGAACCTTCAGTCCACGAGCAAACCTGGTGTTGGCCATGAGTGAGCAGACATGATGCTTTTCATGAGCAGTCATACGGTTATCAATCAGCAGAATCAGACATAGAAAGAACGTATCATTACGTGAGATATGAAGATATAATAGAGTCGTCTCTATTTCAGCCCTATGAACTCAGGTGTCGTAGTGACAGAATATTGCTCACTTCGAAATAGTTTCAGTGCGAAATAACTCTTGTCGTTATATCACTAACTTATTTGCCAAGTAACATGAATTCCTTAATTGGATGAAATTCCTAGTGTTAGGCTTTTGTGATAATATACCATAAAAATCTTTTTATTTCACTCTGAAATTCCTGCGAAACATTTTCAGGTCGGAAGGTGAACGCTGTATAATAAAAAGAAATGTTACCAAAGCTCTATTAATCATCATAATCATTATTTATTTAAGATTTTTCTTATGCCAAGATAATTTATTTTAACTGAAGTTGTGATTATAATTCTATCCTATAAATTTGGTTCATTATCCATGATTATTTCTTGATTGAAAACAAGATTGAGTTAATTGTGTGGAGATACCATTAAAGTTTGAGCGGCCTACCGCTTGATGCCTCTTCTTGGCAGCCTCTCGCCTGACACCTCCTCTTGGCAGCCTCCCGCTTGACGGTTCCTTTTGTCAGCCTCCCACTTGACAGCTCCTCTTGGCAGCCTCCCACTTGACGCCTAACGCACTTTCCTGGCAGCCACCTGCTTGACACCTCCTCTTTACAGCCTCCCCCCTTCGCCATGTACGCACGGCACACAACTCAGCCTCTGCCTCTGTCGGCGTCCGCGCAGCCTAGCAATCTAAGCCGCCTCAGCATCGGCGACCAGGTGAGGCAGAGGCATCCATGTGCGTTGGTGTGTGTGTGCAAGGGTTCGTGTGCGTGCATACATGCAGATGTTCGTATAAATTCATGTGTTCAGGTGCTCATGTACGTTCATGTGTGCAGGTGTTCATGTGCGTGGCCCACAAGACGCAGCTGATGATTGTGTGCGTTACAGACCCCACCGCGTCCCCCATCATCGCCTCACCCAGTGTGGGAGGCAAACCATTACCCATCACCCAAGTGAGTCCCCTCCTAATCCCCCACCACAAAAGGATCTTCTTACACCAGCATCCAAAACATTGCCTCCCACACGCAACCTCTGACACACCATCTCCCAGTTGTCACATCCCACACCTACACCCCACCCATCACATGTCGCCCATTTAAAACCGCCTCTCCAGGCCACAAATCCCCCTCCCCCAGGCACGGTGGGTGCCGACGCTGAAGCGCCACCTGCTGGTGGTGACGGGACGGGGTGGCGTCGTCTTCTACAGCTGGGACGCCGCGAGCCTCCTGAAGGTGGTGACGCTGGGAGAGGAGGGGAGTTCAGCTGGAGGAGAGGAAGGCCCTGCTGGGGGAGCGGGGAGCACGCTGCTGGCTAGGGGCGTGGCGAGCATTGACGGACAAGTGGCAGTGGGTGAGTGGAAGTGCGTGATGACTACATTATGTAGGGAATACATCCAAGCTGACTTTCATGTATAGGTAATACATCATTGATGGGGACGTATTCCATGGTATAATTAATACAGCCACGATGTATATGATACGTTCATAATGTAGGTAATGCGTTCACGATGTAGATAACACGTCAACACCTCTACTCAATTGACGGAAGCTTCGTCGCAGGTACAAGCACCGGCGAGGTGCTGGTGCTGCGTGGTGGCGACGGCCGCATCCTTCGTCCCGGCGATGACGATGACGAGGAGGACGAGGAACTGTCCCACGCCTGCGACGATGACGTGGGCGTCGAATCCTTCCGCTTCCGCTGGCGCCCGTACGCCGTGGCGGCGCTCGCAACCTGCGGCGACGGGCGACTCGCCGTGGGCTACGTTAGAGGCCACGTCGCCGTGGGGAGGTGTCGGGGCAACGGCATCGAGAAACTCTGGGAGGTCGAGTCTTACGGGTGAGGCTGAGGGTCTTAACGGGAGGATATTGGTCTTGAGTTAACAGGGGGCACTATAAGTCTTGATGCGCGACTAAATGTCCTGATGGTTTGAGTCTCGGTGGTATATTATTATTGGCAGTAATGGGAATTCAACAATATGCGGGAGGCTGGTTGTCTTTCGACTTGAACTGTTCATCAGCTCATGTCTCATCAATTGCAGGTCCGCCGTGAGCTGCCTGGCGAGCTCTGATGGCCTCCTGCTGGCGGGGTTCTTGTCCGGTCACCTCCGCGTCTACCAACTCCAGCCCAAGACTTTCCTGGCGGCCGAGGTATGTCCCCAAGCGCCTTAGGATAGTGAGACTTGATGTATATTTGATGTAGAGTGTACGGGTAGTTCAGATCACTATATTTGGAGCAGCAAGTTGGGCTATAGAAACACGCAAGTAGCCATAAAAATTTTTGGTCGAAATCGGCAAGATGGTTAAGAATCGGCTACTGGCCAACATGGTCTTTTATCAAAGCTATCGCCACCATATTATCAATATTCTTATCAATGTTGCTACGTATTTTACCTAATACCATTTCTATATCGTCATGCGAAGATTATCTTTGCCGATATCAATAAATCATTAGTATACAATACCTTTACCACCAATTGCTTAAATAACTAGTCTTGTCGCGACGTTGCCTTGCAGAGCAAATTTACTCTAAATGGAGTAAATTGAAGAACATAATCTGCAAGTTAGGAACTAGTATCAACACCATAAATCAGAGTTCACGTTTTCGAGGTTCCGGGTTTCTACGAGGCTCAGGTTGAGTATTACCTCACACTGCCTAATTACCCCTCACACTGCCACAGGTTTTCAAAGGTTCACAATTTAATCTTCTGCCTGCATTGTTATGACTCAGTAATGACTCTTTATTAATGATTATCCCTGCCGCAGGTTTGTAAAGGTTCATAATTTAATCTGCTTGCATCGTCATGACTCAGTAATCTATCCATGTATAAAAAAAAACTCGCATGCAGCCTGTGCGTACTCCGTGTGGTTCCCGTATTCCGTTCCCAGTAACCCACCCGTATACCCCCACAGGTATGCGCCCACGGGCGCGCAGTCACGGGGCTGGACGCTGTGGGGACGGGGGACGAGGGTGAGCGACTACGGGGGGTGTCTGTGGGGGAGGACGCCTTCGTCAGGGTTTGGGGGATCACCGAAGACCAAGAGACCCACCTTAAGGTGAGGTACCAAGCCCTGGTGGGTGGCTGCTAGTAGTACTTGACTTACGAAGCAGGGGTTAGTACATTGCATCTTTGGATGAGGTACTTTACTCGCTAATTAGAGGTACTTGAGTTGCAAAGGGAAGGTACTTGGCTCACATAAGAAGAGTACTTAGCTAACACAGGAAAGGTACTCGCTTACAAAAGAAGAGTAATTGGCTAAAAAAGGAAAGGTAATTGGCTAACAAATGAAAGGTACTTGGCTCATGATAGAGCAGTCCTTGACTGTCGAAAAAAAGAGTTTTTGACCCTCAGAGGAAGGTTGCGTGACTCTCAAATGAATATTTCGCAGCAATCAAAGAAAATAAAGGTACGTGACTCAAGCAAGGAAGGTACTTGGTGGTAACCCTTGCACCTGCCGCAGGTGGAGCAGCTGCACGCCTGCCACCTGCAACACCAGCTGCTCACAGGTGCCGCCTTCACTGACCACCGCGCAAACGCCTTCGTCACCGCATCTTACGACCTGGCCAGTCTCGATCTACGACTTACGACGTGACTTACAACCAGCACAGCCTAGATATACGACCTGCCTTAGGACATAGCCAGCCTCGACATAAGACGTGACTTACGACCAGGCCAGTCTCGACCTACGACACACGACGTGACATAGGACTTGTCTAGCATCAGCATAATAAGATGCGGCAGGGAGTGCGTTGTGAACTTGCACAACATAAAGCCCGTAATAAAATGAAATATAACCAAACCAAATGCGTATTCCTCACGACTTTCAACACACACAAATGTATTAGTTGCGTAGGTCGAGTATACACAAAGCCTTGGGTTGCAACCAACACAGTACAGTAGACAACGTTTAATGTAGGTCGATTTTCAAAACTTGACTCTAGCACAATTGTTACATTAATTAAATAGTTCACTGAAGACCTATTAGCTCGAAGGTTGTACTCAAATGGTAACGAATCTCCTCGGTGAGTATAAGTGGTTCGGAAAAATCGGTTCAAAGAATGCCTTGCCTTGCCTTGGTAAACGGTTAAAATAATGCCTTGCCATAAAACTAGCTAATAGTTAGGCAATTTGGATAATTAGAATTCAAGAAAATATTACAAAGCTTGATTTATATTTTGATGTGGCCCAAATAAATGTGTTGTTGTTTCGAAATGAACAACTTTGGCAGTGAATTTCATACTTACTTCGGAGTAATTCTGACCACATTACATCCCTGCATTAATAATTACATTACATCACTGTACAAAATCACAGCACAAACGAACAACACAGTAGAGCACAGCACACCATAACAAAGCACGACACACTATCACTTCGTATTAAAACACAGCAAAACATGGCACCGTACATTACACCACAGCGCAGCACACCGTAACACAACATCGCACATCGCAATACAACACTGCACAACGCTACATAACAAAACACACCGCAACACAGCACAGCACGGTACAACCCACAGCACAGCACGGTACAACCCACAGCACAGCACGGCACAACCCACAGCACAGCACGGTACAACACACAGCAACACAGCACAGCACAGCCCCTAGCACAGCATACCACTGAACACACGTGGTGGCATCATAGAACTCGCGTGTAGCAGGCCGCAGACTAGCCTGCAGGAAAAAATTTCGAAGATTCGCACATATTCAAAAAAAAATATTTCAAAGCTTCTTCTCGTTGAATATGAACCATATATGTAATAGTTTTTCTGGAATTTTAAAGGACAATTAACGCAGAAAAAATCTCAAATAAATGATTGATTGAAATAATTGTTGTTAAAAATACAATAAATGCAATATCTTCAATACAATATATTTTGGAATATGTTATTGTTTGCGACGAAACGAAGTAATATGGAATTATAAGATATATTCTTCCTCGGATAGTCGATAATAACTAGCGTCACGCGCTGTGCTACGGTAACCCGTCGCTTAAACGCACAAGTAGCTGCTAGTAGTGAAGTTAATAGTTGGTATCACTTGAACTTTATAAAATAATTGGCTTTATTTACAATTTATTTGGCTAATAACATCGATCTAAGGCCTGGAACACAAATATTCCGAGGTAGATTTTCAAATAAAAAACTCTAAAAATTTGTCTTTAAAGTTTTCATAAGGATAATTTTAATGGAGGAATATCATTACATCGTTAGGACATACAACATACAGGAGAAGCTGGTATGTTGGTAGAACAGACGCCATGATACATAAACTTTGATCTTAAAACGATTTTGTTACCTCTTAACTTCCCAGAAAATGTACTTTCGATCAACGCATGAGTGATTACAAGTCGTGGAACACGCGCATCTAGTAAGAACACACATAATTATTCTAGGAAATTATAGCACATGAACATCTAGTTTTGTAATTTAGAACACAATACAAGTAACACAGAACTTTGGGCGTCACGGCAGAGCCGCACTGCACCTCCTACCCCGCCGAGCACCAAAGCGACACTGACCAAGCACAGCAAAAACTGCACAGCTGAGATCTGAGGCAGTAATATCAAAATAGTAACGAGTTTGTAACTCTGTAATTGTAATTGGACTCGGTCATCCAATCATATAGGCTTTCCAAGCAAAACCCACCAATCACAGATAAGAAATTGGCCGCTACGTGTAGTTAGGCTGCTATTTGTACTTAGGAGAGTTTTGAAAATAGGGCATCTTGATAGGTTTTATCCAACATGGCGGTACCGATGCAACAAAAATAAAGGTACCATGTAAAAAACATCAGAGAGCCATAAACATGCGGGTAAAACAGCACAAATATCAAAGAATATCGGGCAGTTATGAGTATCAGGTGAATGATAACAACGTCCAGAAGCTGGCCTTATGGAATGAATTTGCCACGACATTCCACTCCTGTTGGCACGGCTCTGTTCGCTAACATTGGCAGTTCTTGGCACGTATGTTGACCCACGTATGTTGACCCACGTATGTTGACCCACGTATGTTGCCAACTTATTGGCACATTCTACTGCTCACACACGGCATCACGCGCACAGTGTGGCGCGGCGAGGTGTGGCACAGCGGCGGGTGTGGCGAGGAGGTGTGTGGCGACCGCCACGTAGTGCACGTAACTCGCCACACCGACAAGCACGTGCCATACGGCATGGGCGCAGGGCAGCCGTCCGTCCAGCTTGAAGAACACCACCCCCACCAGGTACACGGCGCCCCCCAGCCCCAACTCCCACATCCCCGCATCTGCCTGCAAGAGGAGATAGTGGATAGAGAGCATAAAAGCGCCACAATGTTAGCTTTACACAAGATCATGGTGGAATTGTTGAGGGGTTTTAAATAACGGAAAAATATAGCATATTGCAAAGGCCATCGGATAACCAATCACAGTCTGGACAGAATGACATCTCAACCAATCACAGCTGGGAAGGGACATGTCTCTGCCCAAAAATTAAAGTAACTTTAATCACTATCCTAGAATTCCACCATGAACTAGTCACCAGGCACAATTGCCAACCATGTAGGTACTCCAATTACAAGATCCGTCCAGACCAGCTACACCTTCAACACATACTAAGCAAACCTCCCATCAGACACACTCTACCAGGAATATACACCCTATCAGCTACAACCTAACTTGGTACACTTACACATTTTCCCACCTCCCTCTTCCATCTGCACAGGATGAATCCTCTAAAAAAAATTCTGCTTGAGTAGATGCCATGCCACTTCTTACCATCTGGAGGACAGCCAGCGCCGGGACCACGCCGATGGTCACATAGATGGTTGTGTCCACCATCTTGTACATCTCGTGGAACAGCTGCTGATAGACGATGCCCACCACAGCCAGCACCCACACGCCCCACCTGCGCACACATCAGATTCCATACTATACGCCTTACGCGAAAATTTATTACTTAAATGTATTAAATTGCGACAAAAGGGTTTGATGTGCGCGGGGATATTCACCATAAATTATATATTCGTAATTGTGGCAACACACACGATATTAACAAACAGCACTTGCTAAATATCCTCCCCAATCAATAACTTTGTACGTCTGTCAGCGTCGGTCACACGCATATATAAAGTAGGCGGCAGTTCACCGGGGGGGGGGGTTACGGTAGCACTGTTTTTCTTCAAACTTCCCTCAACAAAGAATTTACCAGTACTTTTCTTGCACTGATTTCAAAGAGCCAAGGACAAAAATAGAAATTCCTACTGCGTCCTGTTGCCTTCCAAATAAATTTTTTTGTTTAACTTGTTTCATTCCTCAAATTCCTTTCATATCGCCGCAATTACGCGGCTTGCAATTAAAATCATCCCGCCTTTCGTGTTATCTATAGTGACACAAACAGTGGAGTAACCAACGGGTAGAGTGGCGTGAGAGGGAGTGATCTACCCACCTGAGGTGTCGGGGGTAGAGGTGGGCTAGGGGTGATGGGACACACCCACCTGAGGTGAACCATCCCCGGGGGTAGAGGCTGGAGGAGCAGCCACGGCGTGTAGGAGGCTGCGATGAACACGTAGATCATGGCACGGTCAGCACGGTGCAGCACCTGCCTCAGCAACCAAGTGAACAACATGCAGTTCAACGGGACCAAGTTTGAGGTTCTGAGATACAGAGGTAGCGGAAGAGCTGCACAGTATGGAGCACCGCTACCTAGCACCTGACAACTCGGAAATCGAAGAGAAACAACTTGTTCGTGATCTAGGAGTGTTGAATACTCAGGTCAATTTTGGTGATCACGTAACTGCAATAACCGCAAGAGGTAGGCAACAGATGGGGTGGATCTGGCGGACGTTAAAAACAAGAGAAGCGGAACCGATGATCACACTCTTTAGAGCCCTTGTAATTCCAATTCTCGAATACTGCTGACCCTCGGAGTCGGTGTAGGCCACCATCAGAGGCGTTCAGGTCGGGGCCCTGATCATTGACATGAAACCATTCCCTGTTTTTAATTAATAAAATCAATTCCTTTTTTTTTGTTGGAATGGTGAGTGTGGGAGGCCTTTAAAAAAAATAAAAAAAAAATAAAATACTGCTGTCAGCTCTGGACCCCGTTCACACTCGGCGCAGTGCGGCAACTGGAAGGTGTCCAGCGAACCTTCACTTCCAGGATCAAAGGGATGGAAGAGTTGAACTACTGGGAGAGGTTGAGGCGCCTGGGTCTGTACTCACTGCAGAGGAGACGGGAGAGGTATGTCATTCTGTACACATGGAAAATGATAACCGGAATGGTGCCAAACTTCGAGAGCGCAGGATTGAGACATATCACAACGAGAGAAGGGGGAGACTGTGCAAGATCCCCCCATTATGTAACAGATCCGCAGTCAGATTTCAATCCCTGCGGGAAGGATCACTTTCCGTGGCAGGGCCAAGCCTGTTCAACATCCTACCTAAGGATCTAAGAGAGGGGGAGTTCACCCTGGAGACCTTCAAGAGACAACTGGACGTTTTCCTGAGCACAATCCCAGATCGACCTCCACAAATGAGGGCGGATGAACGATAATCAGAGGCGGCGATCCATCGTGGCCTTGGACTGCTATGTCCCAAACAAGTACCAAGATTACCAAGTACCAAGATTACACACCTGCCACTGAGCATGAAGCTCGCCACACACCTGCCACTGAGCATGAAGCTGGCCACATGGAAGACTGTGGAGACGGTGAAGAGAAGCACGAGCGCCAAGCCGTAAATGCCACATGCCACAGTCCGCATGCTGTGCCAGCCATCGGCCACACCTGCAGCCACCACCAGCAGCCATGCTAGCCACATTGCTGGAGCCACAAATGCCTGCCAAAGCCAGGTGAGTCACTCAAAGTACAACTACTTGTAAAATGTGTGAAAAATAAAACATATCAAGCCATATATTCTACCTATCCTCAAATTAATACATAACAAAACATGTGTACAAGATGATGCCTACAAAAACGGCAAACAAAATGGCAGTCACCCTCTACCATCCAAGTGGTGATGTGTGAGCTACTCTCAACAACAGCTGCTTGTTGTCTGGGATGTCTAATAATTTCAGCTACACCATTAATAATTATCATCATCATTGCACACATCACTTGCAACATGTGACTGCAGTTTTTGTAGCATGGACATTAAGCTTTTCAAGTTGAAAAATACAACCTATCCCTCTTCATATTTGTTTAGTTTAGTCAAACATAAAGACATTAAAAAGCCCTACAGTACTGCAAAGGGAATTCTTACTTCAAACTTCAGACTGAAAACATGAACAATTCCTTAAATTTTAGTATGGCTAACGCATATCAGGTTCCTAAAACCCAAACAAATATACGGTAGATCTGCTGCTGCATTATATGATGGAATAAAATAGTGATGTTATAAAATGCTGCAGAGGTCTACACAAAAATTGCATTAATGATTCAAAATGCAGCACATTTAAAAAAATTGCAATTATGCTTTTACTTTATGTTTTAATTATGAAATTAATACTTCAATTCTATATTAATACATTATACAGATGTTGGTACACCATTAAGTTGTTATGGGTTCACCCCAGCCTCCAAACAAAAGCTCACCCCATGGGACAAGATGTTGGCCCAATGCTCGATGGTGGTTGGCTCGTAGCCAGCCCGCCCCACCGCCACGGGGTTCATCCATTGGGTCCTGTAAAAGGATGAGTCATCAGGCCATGGATTGCATGGATGCACCTGTTTATTCTATGTTATTTACTAACATAGTTTACCAAACATAAATTTTTGTAAGTTTTAATTGGGATTTTTACAATTATCCCTCATAAATTACTATGTTTGAATAATGTATGCCTATACTAGTAGGTTACTGGGGGCATCAATGTTGAGTTTGTGAAGTAACTAAAAGCCTAAAAAGATGGCTATAGTGGGTCTAGGTGAAACATCATTACTTTCTTAAAAAATGATTAATGAAATTACCAAATTCCCTTGTCCATCACTAAGCAATAAAAAATGCTAAGCAATAAAAATGCCAACAACATATGCTGTACTATTGGAGAATTGGACTGGCCAGTCACGACTCACCTCCCAGATGATGAGTTTTTGCTCATATTCAATCTTTACTCCAGCAAATATTATCTTAGAAAATACATAGCAATGCCAAGTGCATTAAGCCTTTATAGCTTAACAGAAAAAATAGAAGGAAATTTAATCACACATTCCAGCTAATTAAATAAATGAATTCAACATGAAAAATTCAAATCTGTTTGGAAAGAATCAATCAGTAATATTGATCATAAAGTGGTAGTAATATTTTGTCAAAAAAATTAAAATATTATTTGCTAAGGGGAGCCAAATGCTGATTTCAGAAGAACCAATATACAATACGATCTTCAGCTCTAAAGTTCCAGACCTAGTGGCAATAGCAAATCTGAAACAATAGCAAATCATTGTTCTAGTGCCATCAAAACAGCTTTGTAAAAATCCTGTCAAACCGTAAGATTCATAGTTTCAACACGTATTACACAATTCTCAGTGATGATCAGCAAGGTAGGTATGTGCAGTGTCTGCTCAGTGGCAACTTATGTGGCATGAACAGTTGCAGGAACTTTGAGGCTAAAAATGCCAATCTGAAATACCAGGCAGAATTTTTGGCAAAAATCGTGAGTAAACGCTGTCATTTCACAGATAATTTAAAAAAATGCTACATGTTAGTTATTTTTTTTTAGTAATAACCTCTGCAAGGGCTATATAAATGGGTTTAATTTACCATAATCATTGTATTTATTCTATCATTCCAAAGGTGGCATCAGCCTGATATTCTAGAATGGTAAATGGTATGATACCTCTAATGACAATTCATGACTCAGAAAGAAGATATATTCCATGGCACACCTGTTTATGAGTATCATTTTTTTCATTTTTTGGCTAACATTGCATAGTGTCAAAGCAGAGACTTTTCTTAGACTTCCGCAAGTTCATTTCTGAGTTTCATTATAAGTATATCAGTGCCTAAAAGATGTTGAGTGCATACCAGAATCTTTTTTTTAGATGTATGTCTTGGGCCAGGGATAAAAAGTCCATTTGACACACCAAGCATGCTCCCACTCTCTAGATAAAGCCCATATAGATAAAACCCCCAAAATCCTTAGCATCACCTGAGAAAAGAATTATATGTTATCACCTCCCATCAGAACCATAGTCACTCAAGTGATGGGCTCTCTATGAATCTTAAAAGCCTGGCTGGCACTAACAGGGGTTTCTGCAAGGAAGACATCATTGCCACCTATTGGACAAAGAACCGCTAAATCCTCAACTATGTTGCCTACATCTGGCACCCTGTTGCCTAAAAAACTGCAATAGCAAGCCTCCAAACTACCCAAAACACAGCTTTGAGATTGGCCACTGGCTGCCTCAATATGGCCCCAATTGCTCATCTCCACAATGAGACTGGCATCTTTCCCTTATTCGATTACCTGGACCTGGCTTGCGCTCAGCTCCTTACCAGCGCCCTCCAGCCTACCCACGCTTAATTCCACAGTCTCTGCTCCCTTGCTTTCTAGCCCATATCAATTGGTGCTATCCCAGCTCCATTTGGGCTACTGCAGTTCCCTGGCGTCCTACACCTTCAGGGTCAGACACTCCCCAAGTGCCTCCTGTCACGAGTGTAGGGACCCCCTCCAGTCCATACAGCATCTCTTTGCCTGCCCCTCCTTCCCCACAATCCTCAACCCTCAGTGTCTGCTCACAGAGGGACAGTTCTGTAGAGGAGGCATCCTTCCTGGCCACCCTCCCTGACATACCTATCTCCCTGCTCTTCCGGTGTTCCTCCCTCAGTCACCACTCAAGCCTCCCCCACATGCAAGCATGATGTCAGCGCTAGAAAGTATAAAAAAAAAACAAATTACAACAGCTATATTATCATCAGTACATGACACAAACTTGTGCGGGCTCAACGGGGCAGGGAAAATCGAAGTTAGTTTTCTCCCATTTATTTCATATACTTGAGTGACGTAAGCTGAGTGACGTAAGCTGAAAATAAGATTTAATATTAGTTAATAGGTCGAGAAATACTTACATAAAACTCACACTATGCAGGGGGTAGACTCACATTGTTTAGACTTTAGACATTGTTTAGTACTAAACGTTATAGAATAGATGAACGTTCTATTTTGACTTCTCGATAACAAAATTACAACTGACATGACAGGAATTGTTTATGTCGGCATGGCCACAATATTTCATTTGTTACTCACACGAGGTGGTTTTGGCAGGCGAGAAGAAGAGACGCCAACATTGAGGATAATTACGTTTAAGATTTCTGAGCTTCAATGAGTTAGGCCAGATATACCGAATGTTGACGTTTACTTTCTTATGCTCAAATTTGCCAACGCTGAGTTGGGCTTCAATTACAGTTATAGCGTCAACGCTAGGTTGGGAATCGATTTTGATAATGGTGCCAATGCGGAGTCGGGGCTTGCTTACTTTTCTAGTGAAACGGCTGTGGGTGGGCTTCAAATTTAATTACGATACGTAACTGGAATAATGAGATTAGAGATAAACTTTAGAGGACAATATCTTAAAATTACCTAAAATGCTTCAAATTAAAGGAGACTGAAAGAAACGCATGTCAGCACAGGACAGTAGGGTTTCACGAGGCTGTAAGTGGAGAATGAAGTAGTCTCCCTTAAAACTTTTCTATGAGATGTCAAAGAAAACGGAACAGCGTCTTTGCTACATGGTTAAGTAACATTCAAATAGTCACAACAGCAAAGGTGAAGCAAATGGCCTAGAAAATATCAAATCGGTACGTCTAAGTATGCAGCAAATAATTCTTTCAAAATAATTACTCATAGATGAATTCATACTACTAGAAAATATATATCAACTATGATGTAGGAGCCTATTAGCAAATGATCGTTATAATGGCTGCCAACAATGTCTAGACGCAGCGTTACTTACAGTAACGACTATAATATTCACTCAATGACATGAACATGGAATCACACACAGTAAAGACGATAGAGGAATACATGGATACAATAGGCTTGACAAGCTATAGCATCATATAAATAAGGTAACACCGGGAGGGCTCGCGGAGCAACACACTACTCACTAAAGCTCTAGACGCGCACTGGTATGGCGCTGACGATGCCACGCTAGATGAGAACGCAGGAACCGCTTGGGTGGCTCGCTGCGTTCATAAGATGGCAATTTTGTTGATCTTTGCGATATTTTCCACGCACTTGTGGAGTGAACGCCGGGATGATTGAAGATTTTAAGAAAGAATAGACGAGGATAGGAAAACTTAGTGCATTGAATCTGACCGTGTGACGAACGACGTCACAGTACAACACTGAGTCTCTTAGGTACACGTCAATAACATCATTGGCCATCAGCAGCACATCAATGAACATAAACACTGCTTTTTAATTTATTCTAGTTTTGAAATAATGTAAACATTACTTTCCAAGAGCATACTGCTATATATGATGAGGCCCACTAGCACTAGTAAAGAAAACAACTACCTTTAGTTCCTTGACTAAAGCAATAATGTGGTGCAGGAACTGCAAGATTCCTGCTAGATGAATTACCTCCTATCTATTCGTTAATACAAGTACACTATGATCAGGCCACAAGATTCCAAATGTATTGAAAATTAATTACACCAGAGATGCAAGATTTCAGAAACAAGTAGGAAAATTTCAATCCTGCACTAGCACCATATCTTAAATTGTAATGAACATAAACGCTGCATTTCAAGTTTATACTATTTTTGAAAAAACACAAACGCAGCTTTCTAAGTCCATACAAAATTATATGTACCAGTTTACACCAGTTTTGCAACAGATGATGGTTGGAGACTTGGAGCAGATTTCGAGGTTTTAGTAAATTAGAAGCAACAGCGCTAACGCTGGATCCGATACAGCAGGCCGCCAGGCTGGCATATTCACAAAGTGCATAATCATGTCTAGCTCAGTACTATGGTGCTCAGAGACTCTTGGCAATGGCAGGGTTGCAGAAAGTGGTTGAATATATGAAGATCTTCAGTCACGCAACAGCGGCAAAATTTATGCCTGCAGAAGATCTTGCCAATACATTTGGATTGAAATTATGACATTTTAGATATACCGTCAAACATAGTAAAAAGGGACGGGCGGGGTAAATTGGGACGTGCGTCCCACATTTCGTAGAAATGTTGTAGCAGCTAAACTAATCAAAATATTGCAAAACTAAAAATAGTGGCATAAACTTCAACATTTTTACTATCTATTATTTATAAAGCTAGTCAAGAAATCAAACATTTACTATCTCTAAAAAATTGCTGAAAAAAAGTGTGAAAAGAGCAATTTTGGAAAAGTACCTCTGCTAAGGTCTGGAGCAAAAAAAAAAATATTTGCCATATTAAAAAATTTTACTTACATAAAAGTTGCACCCAGGTGTTGGCTTGAAAACGTAATTGAAGGAATTGTCCTATCTCATTCCAAAAAAAAAAAATGGCAGCCATTTCCGCAGTGAGTACTGAGTTATATTTTTTTATAGTAAATTCACTTAACCCAATTAAAATGGTGTGAAATTACAAGCCGTCCTGTAAGCTTATAGATACAGAAAAAATGCTATAAGGCTGCTGATATGAAGCTTGCAGACTGCAGTGGACAAGGTTGTTGTAAATGCTCAATGGCATGTTCATGGATAAGGTAATATCGCATCAATAATACAGTAATATTGGGTGACTTCTGTAATTACAACTGGGGTGACTTCAGCTGCGTTTTTGATTTTGTTTTGCAAATAAAAGCGGGGTCATAAACTATGGCCAAAGTCACTCTGGCATTCATGACCCTGGCGTTTATGACCCCGGCGTTTACGACCCTGTTTTTATTTGCAAAACAAAATAAAAAAGGCACGAAAGTCACCCCAGTTGACGGTAATTAATGTTTTTGGTAATATCATATTAATAAAGGAAAAACGAGTAAAAATCACAGAAAATGTCATTTATTCTACCTCTACATCATCTACAATGAAAGAGGAGGACATCAGAGTACTGTTAGTAATGGATAAGTACACTCTGCATGCTTCAAATATTTTAAAATGAAGTTTTATAGCAAGTGTCCCAAGTAGCCCTGTTCAACGGGGCTACTCGGAACACTTTTTTTGCTTCTGGCACCTTACGAATAGCATATGGAATTTTTTTGAAGATGCTATTCGATAGCCCTCGCAAAGAGCTATAAAATGAGCCTAAACTTGTTTATGAAATGTTTCA